TTCCTTCCTTCCTTCCTTCCTTCCTTCCTTCCTTCCTTCCTTCCTTCTTTCCTTCTTTCTTTCTTGTTTTACTACTGCTTTAAATGAATGGTGAATTTATATTTTAAAACTTCAACTTGAGTATAAACTTTCTATATTTCTTTTTAAGGTTTTTGATGACTGCCATGAAGGGGGTGAGATTTCACCATCTAATTGTATTTACATGACAGAGTGGCTTGAATTTTAATAGAGAGCTATGAACTTTACTTATTGTTGGCAAAATGAATTACTTGGAGAGCAAATAATTCATGATGGAGTGTCAAATTTCTTTGAAAGCGTACTTCACAATGACGGATATTGACTTGCTGCTATGAAAAGCGTATTTATTTATGAAGACAAACAGATTAAGTTTAATAAAGTTTAATAGGGAAGTCTCTTCTTCAGTAAGTAAATGCCTTGAAGTTCTGAAGGACCAAGCAAAAAGAAGCAAACCTACATTGACCAAGTACTGTGATAACAGCTCAAGTGAGGAGTTCACTTCACGTTACTTATTAAGATCTTCACTGAAGCTCATCAGATTTATTACCGCCATTTCTCTTTGGTTTTTTTTCCTTGGGTTTCATTGAGAAGAAATTTCAAGTGGTACAAACAGGAACAGCTGATGATGGGAATGTGTGCCAACTTGGAGCCTTAGTGGTAAAGTGGGTTTTTCCTTTTCCTCTTCACCCTAGTACTCTTTGAGAGCAGTGCGCTGCCATACTGACCTCCCTCCCAAATGCTGTTATCCAGGGCATGTTTCACATCACTGATATTCTGCATTAAAGGGATGACCTCACTGTGCCTTCATTGCTAATTCTGAAACTTTAGTTGTATAGCTTAATTGTATTCAGACTCTTACTCCATGCATATAGTGTGACTCTCCACCACCAGCACCAAGTTCAAATTTTGTAGTCCAAGGCCCAATAGATAGGTGATGCTGTCTAGAAGGACTAGTTATAATATCTAATCTTTTAGCTAAAACTGATATTGGCTGAGTGTGGTGATGTACTCCTTCAATCCCAGCACTTGGGAGGCAGAGGCAAGCAGGTCTCAGGGAGTTCAAGGCCAGCCTGATCTACAAAGTGAACTCCAGGACAGCCAGAACTACAGAGGGAGAGACCCTGTCTCAAAAAATAAAAATAGATCATTGCCCTTCATTCATTCTCTGAGGGGTGGGAGTCAGTCTTCTCTTACCATATTCTAGACTGGTCCTTGTTTTTCCTATTCTTTTCTAAAAACTGGTGTTACAGGTCTAAGCAGAGTCCCAGCTGTCAGATACTGGAAAACACTAAGTGAATTGATATGCTATGGCACAGAAGATAACTGTCTTGCCTTTTGAGGGTTTTTTTGATTTTTGTTTTATGACAGGGTTTTTCTGTGTAGCTCTGGCTATCCTAGAATTCACTCTGTTGACCATGCTGGCCTCGAACTCAGACCTATCTGCGTCTGTCTCCCAGGTGCTAGGATTTAAAGGCCTTCTCTACTATGTCCAGCTTGCTTTGTGCCTTTTAAAAAATATAAACCAAATGACCAACTGAAAGGGTTCTCACTGCACTCCTCTTTGGAGCTGAATTCTCCACCATTTTGCAGTGCTCTAAGTGAATAGCATCATTAGACTTCTCTTGAGAGATACAGGACTAATAAAATCACACCAACTCATTTTTTCAGATGAATTCTATGGCCAGATCTATAGAGTAAACATTTAATGGTACCAGCTCTTTTTAGGTGTTAGATTAAACATAAAATACAGGTTTTCCTTCTACCTCTAGTAAGGGCCTCATGGTAGGACCACTGTCTCCTCTACCTGGATCTACCTAATCTATTGGATAAGCACTAGACTTATTTTACCAGAAAGCCAAATGCAGGAAAGTTACAAAAGGGGAAAAGAACTAGGCAGTGGTGGCTTGTGCCTTTAATTCCAACACTTGGGATGAAGAAGTGGGTGGACCTTGAGTTTGAGGCCAGTGTGGTCTCCAAAGCTAGTTCCAGCATAGCCAGGGCTATACAAAGAAACCCTGTCTTGAAAAATCAAATAAAAGGGAGAATGAATCAAATTGCTTTCTAAATATGCTGTGCATTATTATTATTATTACTTTTTTTTTTTTTTTTTTTTTGAGATAACCTGGAATTTATGGCCTAGGTTGGCATTGAACTCATGGTAATCCTGCTTTAGCTTTAGCTTTCCAAGTGCTGGGATTACACAGGCAGGGATTCAGCAGCCATGCCTGGCTTTGTTTTGATCATTAGTTTTTCCATTTGCAGCCAGTGGCTAGAAGTGTTCCTTGGCTCACCAGAATAGATACTTAAAACTTTTTCCTCATAGCATATTTTTTACTCTGAATATTTTTGACTTATAAAGTATTGTAAAGTATTTTTTACTCTGAGTATTAACTGAGAGGGATAGATAAGTTTAAAAATGTAGCAACTGTTCTGTAGGTAAAATATACAGAAGTTATCATCAAAAGAAAATGTGGACCTCTAAAACCATGTCACAGAATCAACCTGCAGATGCAGCCCAGATTCTTCATTCTTTCCCACTTAGTATTCATTAGGTATTTTGTGCGCCTGAAAGCACATATCCCAGTCTGTTAGGGGCCCTGTTTAAAAGATCCATACAAAATCAGACACCAAGAGTCTGATTTAATGGCTTTTAATGAATAGTTACATGGATTTTCACATGAAACTCAATTTCACAATGTTTTAAATAAGGGTTTTGATGGTGATGAATTAAGCAAAGTAGTCATACAATTCAATTCTCTGATGGGCACAGTGATAGAATACTCCTGGCATGATGAGGCCTCTGGCCTACCCATCACCCCAACAGTGAAGGGGAAAAAAGTAGTTTTAAATTTGCTAAATGGCAGGTGAGGGATGAATACAAAATAGGTGCCCTACAGCAGTGTGGTCCAGTGAACTGCCTCTATCTCCTGCTGGGTTTATTAAAGAACTGTTTTTATTGCCTGCCGGTACTGCTTATATTAGTACAGCTCATCAGAGAGCTCTCTTGTATACTTTCCCTATGAGGATCATTGAAATGTGTTAGTTTATAATTAAGATTTTTTAGTAACTCACTTTGCTGAGTATTGTTGGTGCATGCCTTTTGTCCCAACATTTGGGAAGCAGAGGCAGGCAGATCTCTGAGTTCAAGGCCAGCCTGGTCTACAAAGTGAGTCTAAGACAGCCAAGGCTACACAAAGAGAAACCCTGTCTCAAAAAAGACCCTCCTCCCCAAAACTCATTTTAAAGTTAGGAAAAAATTAATAAAAAAAAAAAAAACATTAATATTCAATGTCAGCAGGCTTTGAACCAAACCTATAATCCAAGTTTGAGTCTACTTGAATTTGAGATTAGTAACTACTTACTCTGCTTTTGTTTTTGAATTCTTAAAAAATTAAGATCTCTAAATAGCATTAGTTTGCAAGTTGTTTTCTGCCATAGGATAAAAATAAATTCACTTGATAAATAACCTTCTATTATTACTCATTCCCATATGAACACTTATAGTAGACCTACGATTGTCTTCCTATCCTCCAAACATACCTATTGTTAAAAGCTAAAATCTTTCCTGACTTTAGAAACCATATCACATCAGGCTAAAACAGCAGCTTTGCACCCCTCTAGGATAAAAGTGGAAAATGACATTTCTGTATCCATGGGTTCTGTCATTAAGTGTAGGCATCACAGCACTCAGAAAATACTGAGAAAGAAACATTTTATTATTTTCTTAACATATGGTCAAAGTACATGACAAATGAGTAGAAACATAATTAAACCATTTCATATATCAAATATGTAATACAAAAAGTACATTTTAGAAAAGGGACGGCTTACTTTTACATGAGTAGAAGCAGAATCTTGGAATGATGCTTGAATGATCTCTAGAAGGTAAGGGGTTGAACTCTTCAGAATTACACTTCATTTTGTGGGAAAGTTACTTTTGAAGATACTTAAAGTACAATTTGCTCCCTTGTTTTCCACCCTGTAGCATTACATTCATTTTGGTCATCTTACGCTTTTTTTGGACTTTACATAGAGAACCTAAAAATGTTTGCGACCAAACTCACAAGTAGATGACCTGGTCTTTGTCTTGTAGCATTTGCAAATCCTTTAGTTACAGTGTTGTTGCCGGCTACCATATTCATGTAGGGAGTGTATACATACATATATTGCTTCAGTTTAACAAAAGACAGGAACACTTGTCATATTTCTATATTGCAGCACTCCCATAGGACCTAATCCTGCTAGTCGGCATCCTTCTCTGTTGGTCTCAACCTGTCAGAAGACCTACAGATGAGGTGGTGTCAGGGATGTCAGATGAAGACCCGAGTTGACTTATCTTGATCCAGCCTGAAACAGCAGCTAGAGTTTAGAGTTCGAAGACAACATTCTGGACCTTTAGTCATGTTTACTTCCCCCAGTAAGATAGGAAAATTTTATTTCAAAAAGGAAAAAAAAAATGTCACTCAAGTTTTTGTTTCTTCTAGGTTTTTTTGAGACAGGCTTTTGCTAAATACTTAGCCTTTGGCAGGGCAGGCCTAAACTCAAGAGATCCCTTCCTCAAGCTTTCCAAGTACTGGGGTCTCAGGAATGGATTGTACTTTGCTAAAGTTAGTGAGTTATAATTTGGAATGAGACTGGAGACGTGGGCTGTCTTGCTGTTTCTTTTCTGAGACAGGGTCAAGCTAAAGCTAGCCTTCCCCTCCAATCTCCTGCTTTCTCTGAAGTGCTGGGATCACAGGGACACACCACCACATCTGGTTTTGGATTCTACTTCTGACTTACCTCTCTTGGGATCAGCAGGATGGCTAAACAACCTCTGTGTCCCTTATAAAACAGGGAAAAAAAAAAAAAAAAAAAAACACCCGCTAAAGTTAGTAGCTCTTCAGGAAGATTGAAGGTCTGCAGGAACCGAGCATGCTAGTAACTTAGTGTGAGTGCTCAAATGGGTTTTGTTTTTCAGGCACTTTAATAGCTTAGCTGGACGTTTCATGTCTAGTACTGTGATGACAGCTGCCGTTCTACCCATCCTGGTATGTTACAGAGTAGGAGTCATCCTGACTATTCTGGTACTTTCAGCATAGACCTCACCACATTAATCAGTTCGTGAAACTCTGTGTTCTGAAAGTGACCACGATCAGTGAATTTGTACAATTTGGCATTCAACCTATCTGCCACTTCTTGCTGTTCCTTCCAGGGAAGGAAGGGGTCATCAGTGGAGCCAAACTGTACAATGTGAGGGCAGTTGGCCTTGATCTTCTCCCACTGCCAGGGGCGGCTGAAGTACCCTGTAGGGGGGAAAATAGCCTATCAGTGTGCATGAATTGTCATCCTAGACATCTGCAAATATCACAGAGATGCAAAGGACCAGAGACTTGAGTTCAGAGCAGTTCTTTGGTTTTCGTATCTGTAGGGCGTGATACCATACTGACTTACAAAGTAAAAGGCTTAAATAAAACCAGGTCCGGGATTCATTCTAGACATCCAAAGGTAGGTGGGAAATCTCTCATTTGCTATTAGATTCATATTTTTAGGGCTGAGAGAGAACAACTACTTTGTAACTTAGCAGTGTGCCCTGTGTTTAGGAGAGGGCTTTCCTGGGGTTTTTTCTTAAAGACTTACCACTTGCACGCTCGTTTTCATCTCCCAAGTCTGATGTGTATGCAGATACCAATACAAGAGCATACACTTTATGTGTCTCTGCATACCTGAGACAAGAAAGACAGTGTTGGTAATACAGGGTGTTCTCAAAAACTACAAGCCGTCTGATGTATGTTCACAGAAAGGCAGGATATGCTACTGAGATTAGGGTGAAATGTCAGTCACCGGCGTGTGCACTCATCCACCGTTACTGTGAGTCAGCATTACTTGGGTGATCAACATGCTGATTCATATTCCTGAGCTCACCCCCAGAGCATGAAATTCAGAGAAATGGGATTAAGGCCCCAAATCCTGCACTTTGAGGTCTGCAGTCTCTAACCCATCTGACTAATAAAGTGGCCTGTGAATCGCAACTTAAGGATGGGCGGTGGCAGAAAGGTGCTGTGCTGCCGCTTGCACATGCTTTCTCGTTTGTGTCGCTGCTCCCAGGCGAGCCATCGTTGGCTCCTTCAGGGCAGGGGAGCATCTAGACCAACACATACGTGTAAACCATGAGCACTGTTTGCAGACTGCCTTGCTGTCACAATGAGTCTTAAGAGGAAGCTTTGTGCTAGGAAATGTGTAGGGCTACAATTCCATTCTTGAGGATAAACCCTTCTCCCAGCTGCTTACTCAGAAATGTCAAACCCACAGAAGACCTGAAAAGCACCCCGATTCATGAAGGCTGCACACTTAACACTTAATGTGTGTCTCCTATGAATAACCTTGCTTCCCTTATTACACCCAATAAATTTGGCACTGCCTGTATTCTCATAAAGGAGTTTAGGGTAGTTCCCTAAACTGAATTTGTTTTCTCACAATTAGTCTGATATTAAACATTTTGGTAAGATAGCCTTCCCGGGCTAGAGAGATGGCTCAGAGGTTAAGAGCACTAGCTGCTCTTCCAGAGGTCCTGAGTTCAATTCCCAGCAACCACATGGTGGTTCACAACCATCTACAATGAGGTCTGGTGCTCTCTTCTGGCCTGCAGGTGTACATGCAAACACAACATTATATACATAATTCATAAATCTTAAAAAAAAAAAAGCCTTCCTATCTCTTCAGGGACATCTTGAGGGACACATGTGTTTGTGTGTCCCAATATCAATGATGCTAAAGTTTGATCGCTTGTTAAGGTGTGTCTACCACTTTCTATTGAAAAGGCTTAATATCCCTTATCAATTAATAAGCTAGCCACGTGTTCCTTACAATTGTGTCAGTTTCCTGTTTCTTTATACCTTTACACTGATAGCTTAGGCATTTGTCCAGCCTTCTTTTTCTTTTTCAGGCTCAACTTTAGGAGTCAGTTCTTAGAAGGTTGCTGACAATGCTAATAAACTCAGAGGAGCTATAAAGAGTATCACATCGTTAGCAATGGCTGACAAACGGGAGAAAAGGACAGCTCATGTTACCACTTTTGAGGTCAGCA